TATGTTGCCCAGGCTGGTCTTGAACTCCTGGGCTCAAGTGATCCTCCTGCCTCAGCCTCCCAAAGTGCTGGGATTACAGGCATGAGCCACTCAACCCAGCCTCACAATTTATATACGTGGCTTTGTGTACTTTTGCCAGTTCTTTTGCTTTTCTCACAGTCCCACGGTATTTTTTGCCTAAGAATTTGGAAGAAGGGCCACAGTCCCTCTGCTACAGGAGCCCACAACACCGGGCGCATTTGTGCTGAGAACTAATCATTGCTGCCTCCAAAAATACTTCCTCACCCTCTTGCACAAAGGTATTCTTGCCTTCAGAACCAGTGAATGTTGGTCTGTGAAGAGGCCCTACGCTTTGTGCTTCTGTTTCCCTGGGGAAATTGCTTTACTGAGATCATAGGCAGATCTAGCTGGGTGGGGACCCAGATGAGGCAAGTAAGACATTCACTCTGGGGCAAAATGAAAGGGGGTAGCACAAAACTTAGCAGCCAGCTGGGCGCAGTGGCACACACTTTTAATCCCAGCTATTCAGGAGGATGAGGCAGGAGGATTTCTGGAGCCCAAGAGTTTGAGACCAGTATGGGCAACATAGCTAGCCATCTTCATCACAAAAAAAAAAAAAAAAAACCTCACTAACCAAAAATGAATAATAATTTAATGACCTACAGTAATTTGTTTTCTGCTGGAACAAGAGTCTAATTCTGTCACCTAGGCTGGAATACAGTGGCACAATCTCAGCTAACTGCAACCTCCACTTCCTGGGTTCAACTAATTCTCCTGCCTCAGCCTCCCGAATACCTAAGATTACAGGTGCATGCTACCACTTCCAAGCTAATTTTTTTGTATTTTTAGTAGGAACAGGGTTTCATCATGTTGGCCAGGCTGGTCTCAACTCTGACCAGGGGCGGGCTCAAACTCCTGACCACACCTGCCTCAACCTCCCAAAGTGCTGGAATTACAGGTGTGAGCCATCCCACACACCAGCTATTGTCATTTACAGAGAGTATTAATCACCCTGAGCCCTGCACAGTGGCTTTATGCTCCACATTCAGAAGGTAACTGGGACTTGGAAAGGTTACAGAAGTGCCAAAGGCACTGAGTTAGCCTGGGTGGAATGAGGATTCAAATTTGGTTCAGTGCTTGTTCTTTTAGCTACACTTTGCAGCCACAAACAATACCTACCACATGTACTAAATTTCACATCTGTCAGGATGGTTTAGCACATTTTTAAATTGAAGTACATCCTTTTAAGTATCTTTTCACTTTCTCTAATTTTTAAACGTCTTTTTTTAAGAAAGCCAGTTCATCTAAGACCTCTTAATGTCACACACAAGCGAGAAATGCCAAATGGCTAATTAAACACAAGAACCTTCAAGAAAAGAAAGCAGGCATCCTGGCATCTGCCAACAAACAGATCATCGTTCCCATAACAGTTGTAGGAAGCCCGATCAGTGCAGTCCATGCCCTACTGTCTTCCTCCCTCCCCTCTGCTTGGCCGTGGCAGGAATTGAAAAGACAGGGAAGGAGGAATGAAGGAACAGGAAGGCAAAGACACTTCATTAGAACTAAAACAGTGTCGAATGTCACCACCTTAAAGTTCTTTTTTTCTTTTTTCTTTTTTTTTTTTTTTTAAAGACAGGGTCTCCCTCTGTCACCCAGGCTGGAGTGCAGTGGCGCCATCATGGCTCACTGCAACCTCGCCTCCTGAGTTCAAGCGATTCTCCTACCTCAGCCTCCCAAGTAGCTATGATTATAGGCATACCCACGACACTCGGCTAATTTTTTTGTATTTTTAGTACAGATACCCAGGGTCTCATCATGTTGGCCAGGTTGGTGTCAAACGCCTGGCCTCAAGTGACCCACCTGCCTCGGCCTCCCAAAATGCTGGGATTACAGGCGCAGTCCTGGAGATTGCCCAACCTCCACCACTTAAAAGTGTACCCCACACCTGCTAAGCTGTCAATCTAAACAGAAACCTTTTTTTTTTTTTTTGAGACAGACCCTCCTCTGTCGCCCAGGCTGGGTGCGGTGGTGCCATCTTGGCTCACTGCAACCTCCGCCTCCCGGGTTCAGTGATTCTCCTGCCTCAGCCCCTTGAGTAGCTGGGATTACAAGCGCGACCCACTGTGCCCTGCCTAGAAACCATTTTCTAACCTGAAAAAATTTATTTAAAGAAACATGAGAACCGGGGGCAGGGAGTAAAGATCCACTTATGCAGTCTCATGTTCCCAGCAGGTGGATTTGGTCTTCAGGAAAGCTAGACAAGCAGGAGACAAGATCACCCGGCCCTGGTGATCTCTTTCATTCTATTCATTTTGTATTCACTCACTTGTTCAATCAGTAAGCATTTGTTAAAGACCTAGTATGTACCAGGCACTGTTCTAGCGCCTGGCACACTGCTGGTAGGGGAAAAAATTCATGAAGCACTTTATTAAAAGTGGAGACGTGGCTTCAGGCACAGTGGCTCAAACACCTGTAATCCCAAGTACTTTTGGAGGCCAAAGTGGGCGGGTCACCTGAGGTCAGTAGTTCGAGATCAGCCTAGCTAACATGGGCGAGCGATTCTACTAAATGCAAGGATATTAGCGCAGGTGTGGTAGCAGGCACCTGTAATCACAGCTATGCTGAGAGGTGGCTTACAGGAGAATCACTTGAACCCAGGAGACAGAGGTTACAGTGAGCGAGATGATGTACCACTGCACACTCTTGAGCGACAAAGCAAGACTCCATCCAAAAAATAAAAATAAAATAAAGTAGAGGAGTGAACAATAAACAACTGAATGGGCTAAGCTAAGTAACATGCCAGAAATGCAAGATGCTACTTGATGAAGAGTAGCACAGAGCAAGAGGAAGGAGCGAGTGTGTCTGTGTGCATATGTACACGGCGTGCATGTACATGTGTGTGCACACACTGTTGGGGACAGCATGACGCAAGACCTCATGTGGAGAAGGTAACCTTGAGCAGGGCAATAGGAAGTGAAGGAAGAGTTCATCGATATTTGCAAGAATATTCCAGGCGGAAGAAGAGCCAGTCTCTGCAAAGGCCCTGTGAAGGAGCAGAAGTGGGTTTGGTGTATTTGCAAGGAGCTGGCACAGTCAGTGTGGCTGGAGAGGAGAGTGGGGAGCCTATGGAGTCAGAGAGGCCACAGAGGGCCTGAGTAGGTCATCAGACAGATTCAGGTTTATAAGCTGTAAAAGAGAGCCACTGGAGGCCTGAGCAGAGAAAGAGAAGTGTCTGACTTCCATTCAAGAGATCATTCTGGCTACTGTGTTGAAAATGTGGGCGGGAGTGGGGGGAAAGAGATGGGGAGACTAGAGTGATCATTGAGAAGAGGATGACTGGGACACGCAGTTGAGGTAGTGACCAAGGGGTAGCAACCCGCCTCCACATATTCCCAAGCTAGAGCTGATGGGACTTGCTGATGAACTGAATGAGGAGATAACAGGGAAAAATATGGCGATTTGCAAAGAGATAACTGTAAGGTTTGCTGCGGCCCGAGCAGCAGTGTGGGTGCAGCTGACTGTGACAGAGGACCCTGGGGAAGAGACCATATTTAAAGGATAATTCAGGGTTTGTTTGGACCGCCCTGCCCCAAGCAGGGGCGGGAAAGGGGCTCACAGGAGGGAGAAAGGTCCCAGCCTTAAGTGATCAGTTGCAGAAAGATATTCAGAGAACAGGGTTTTGTTTTGTTTTGATGAAGTCTCACTCGTCACCCAGGCTGCAGTGCAGCCGCGCTGCTGATCTTGGCTCCACTGCAGCATCCTCCGGGTTCAGTGATTCTCCTGCCTCAGCCTCCTGAGTAGCTGGGATTACAGACACATGCACCCATCACACCTGGATAATATTTGTATTTTTAGTACAGACAGACAAGATTTCACCATATTGGCCCGGCCGGGTCTCAAACTCTGACTCAGGTGAATTCACCAACCTCAACCTCCCAAAGTGTTACAATCACAGGCATGGGGGCAGCACTCCTAGCAAAACAGTTATTTTTAATAGTCTATACTCATTTTTACCTTTTCCTATCCCAGATTTTTAAGTACCATTTTGTTGTTGCTTTCTTTTATTGGAGGCAGAGCAGATGAAGCTTTGCATAACTATGTCACCCAGGCTGAGCACAGAGCAATCATAGCTCACTGCAACCTAGACTTTATAAGATCAAAGAATCCTCCCACCTCAGCCTCCTGAGTAACTGAGACTTCAGTGCACACCACTCCCAGTTAATTTTTTTATTTTATTTTAAAATTTTTTGGTGTGAGTCTAGAGTTCTGCAACCACTTAATTTGAACTGCTTACAAACTCTGGGCTCAGCAATACTCCACCTCAGCCTTCTGGTGGCTGGCGGGACTATATGCACTGCACCCAGTGGCTAATTTTGGGCTTTTAGATACAATGTATTAGTCCTTCCTCCTGCTAAGAAAAGACATACCTGGGGCTGGGTAATTTATAAAAGAAAGAGGTTTAATTGACTCACAGCTCAGCATGGCTGGGGAGGCCTCAGGAAAGTTACAATCCATGGCAGAACGGGGAAGAGGAAGCTTACATCACACCTTGTTCTCACAGTGGCAGCAGGGATAAATGCCAAGCAAAAGTGGGGAAAGCCCTTTACTTATAGCATCAGATCGTGTGAGAACTCACTATCTTGAAAAGTAGCGAGGTAGCTTTGCTCACGATTCAATTACCTCACCAGGTCCCATCCCACGACACGTGTTAGTTATGCTACAATTCAAGATGAGGTTTTGGGTAGGGACTTTTTGATCAAACCTTATCAGATGGGGTTTCACCATGTTGCCCAGGCTGGTCTCAAACTCCTGGGTTCAAGTGATCCTCCTTCCTTGGCCTCCCAAAGTGTTGGGATTACAGGCATGAGCCACCATGTCTGGCTGATTCGTTTTGTATAGATTGCATTAACATGTTTTTATATATTGATGTCTTAAGCAGAGTTTGGGGGCCCCCTTAAGTTGTGCACCTGAGGTGAGGGGCCTCACTCCCCCTTACCCAGATCGCAGCCCTGTTCCTGGGAAACTGGGAGTGCAGGAGGCCCTGCTTTTCAGCCACAACCACAGAGCTCCTGTGTTTCTCCCCAAGTCTCCCTGCTATACATCTCAATGGCAATTGGTACATCTCTTGAGGAGGGACCTGATAGACAACAGCTGGGTCATGACGGCTGCCCATCAGGTAACTGCCATTCTCTGGGCCTTGGGCTGCTCACGAGCCGGTGCTCATTTTCACAGGCTGGGGTGTGTAATGGCCTGAATCATGCTACATAAAGCAGCCTTGCAAATAACCACTAGCTGCCTGGCTGGGAACACACAGCCTATGGGTCAATCAGCAGTTTCTTCAGTGTGTTGGCCCATCAATGTCAGTACATGGCACTTAGATCGGGTGTCCTGTGCCAGGTACTGAGGGGGAGGATGAGGAGGAAGGCCTAATCTCTGCCCTCTGGAAACTACATGTGGCCTCTGGATCTGGGTGGGTTCCTTGAACAACGGCTTCAAGCTTCAATACCATCAGCTGCAGAAAACAATGGAGTAACAGAATTTAGTGTGAATTCAATGAGCTGATTTACTAAGGCACCAGCATAGCGGGTGCCCAGTGAAGCTAATTCTGAATTACCGACTAATTATAAAGGCCCACGAGGTTCTGCAACGTTGTTCACTTTTCCTCTTGTGATTGTCAATGACCTCTGCTCATCACAGCTCAGAACTCACCAGAGCTTTGCTGGGTGATTGTGACTCCTTCCAGGAGTGATCCATCTACATCTAATTTATAATAAGCTCTAGGAGGTGATTGGGAAACTAATAGAGACTTAGAGTCAGGAGTCCTGGCTTCTGGTTCTGGTTTCTCACTAACGGTGGGACTCTGGGCCAGGTTACGCCTCTCTGGGCCTCAGTTTCCCCATCTACAATGAAAGGTGGGAAAAATGTCCTTGAAACAAATGATTCCTGTTTTCCCTACAATGTTTGATCATATATTCCACCTCCATAATCCTACCACAGAGTCTGTGTTATTACAACATTCATTTATATTATGTCTAGTTTAAGAATTCAGTATACTGACTGCTATTATATGATCGTAGTTCTTATGTTATACTTTAGCTCTATTATAACTAACAGTTGTCCCAGGGAGGAAAGATCCCCAAGCCCAAGCCCCAACTAGTGGCTCATGCAGCAGCCATGGTGATTGCACTTTAGGTCTATCCCAACATAGCGCCAGGCTCTCTGGGGTGACCCTCTCCCTGGGCCCCTTTCTCCCAGCGACAACAGGACCTACGGCGTGGCGCTGGGACGGCTTCTTTACATTGCGGGTCTGGCTCGCTGGCCGTCAGTGTCTCTAAGAGCTACATGGTGCATCCGGACTGGGACTCAGCGTGCCTCAAAGGGTTCGTTTCTGTCTGGATGCACTTGGGGGTGAGGTTGTCAGGAATGGAATGGGGAGGATCTACACAGAGGCAAGTGTCACCCAACTCCACCACACGCCCTCTGAAGCTGGCTATAGGAGGAGAAGGAGCTCCTAGCCTCATGGCAGAGGTGGAACCAGCTCAAAGATGCCTGCTGGTGTGGGGATGTGACCTAGGGAGGAGAAGCAAGGAGCTTGCACCAGAGTGACCTGGAGTTTCACCAGTCAAGCCTGCAGAGTCCTATCCACTGAGCGTGTATCACTTCATGCAAGTCCTGGGGACACAGGGACTTGAGGAGTGCTAGAAAGGACTGTGACTGTGCTGGAGGACACAATCTCTCCTGCCTTGCTCCTTTCAACAAGGCCCTCTGTATTTTCAAAGATGCCCTGGGACCTGCCACTCCAGAGCAAGCTGGGGTAACGTGCAGGGGAGCGATCACAAGGTCTCAGAACTCAGAAACCCCACAGGGCAGGAAAAGAGTGCCCCTGTCCTCATGCTCTGCCTCTGCACTGACCCAGGGTGCAGGCATTTTTACCCTGGTGAAGCTGGCTGACCGTCTCCCGCCTCACCGACAAGATCCAGCTGGCCTGCCTCCCTCCCTGCTGGCTTTTAGCACACCCAACAACTACCCCTGCTCGTCACGGGCTGGGGATATCTGCATAAGTGGGAGCAGGAGCCCAGGCCTGGGAGGGAAGGAGAGGTGATATCACCTGTCTGGCCAGAGCCTCTCACCTGTCATCCCAGGGTGTGTGGCTGCCTGGGAGAGCAGGACAGCTGCGTATGCCTGCCTGGGGTTCAAATGTCCAGCTCCCACTTCATGACTGTGACACCTTGGGCACATTACTGAATCTCTCTGCAGCACTTTTATCATATGTAAAATGCAAATAATTGGCTGGCATTAGCTCTGCACCTGTAATCCCAGCACTTTGGGAGGCCACCGGCGGGCGGATCACTGGAGGTCGGGGAGAAGGTTTGACCCGGCCGACATGGCCGAAGCAGGTCTGCTAAATGTTTTTAAAATAGCAGGGTGTGGTGACGGTGTGCTCACAGAGTCCCAGCTACTCAGGGAAGGCTGAGGCAGAGAATGCAACACAGGCACCCGGAAGGTGGAGATTGCAGTGAGCCAAGATTTCGCTACTGCACGCTCCCAGCTGGGGACAGGCAAGACTGTGTCTCAAAAAGAAGCAAAAGGGGGGCATAATGCCCAGCGCTACATCCCCAGGGACGCTTAGAGATTCAAGGAGATAATCTGCCAACAGGAAGCCTGGCATGTGGGAGGTGCTGTGTGTTGAATTGTTGTCCATGTCCCACTACTGTTGGAATTACAGAGACCATGTGACATCTTCTGTGTGGCCATAGAGTTCAGAACAGCATTTTCCTCTGTGACCTGAGGCCCCTGAAGCCCTCCTCGGAGCCTCCGTGCCCCATGGCAAAAAGCTGTCTCCCCTATGCCATTCAGTCTTGCTGCCCAGAACCTGGCTGAGGGCGGGTCTCCTTTGACATAGACTCCAGGAGGGTTAGAGATCAATGACTGCTGGCACCAAGAAGGAACAAGTTCAGAAAATCTTCCTTAATGAGGAAATCACCAGAGGTTTGGAAGATTCTAGGAAGGGAAGAATAATGACCTTGTGACCATATTATTGACATTTGTGAGTGATAATGACATTATGACATTTTCTCCCTAATGACATAAACACATAAGTATAATGACATGTTTTTCCAGAGGCACGTCACACGCCACACTACCACTGAATAAATCCCTATTGCCCTCTTGACTGCCTTATCTGTAAATACAAGTACACATGAGTGTCTGCAGTGGAGTGGTGGTGGAAGAGGCATTTCATGCTTATTAAGATAGAAGCACAACCACCTGTTTGTTTCCCAGACAACCTGGGGCAGATGCAGTTCATCTGAGACAGTGGGAGAGCGGGGAGGCATCCAAATGCTTGGCTTTTAGGCCCAGCTCTGTCGGTCTGCCCGGTGGTGAAACACATAAGTATAATGACATGTTTTTCCAGGGGTACATTCACATACATACCCTCGAATAAATCCCTATTGCCCTCTTGACTGCCTTATCTGTAAATACAAGTACACATGAAATCCTGCAGTGAGTGGTGGTGGAAGAGGCATTTCATGCTTATTAAGATAGAAGCACAACCACCTGTTTGTTTCCCCAGACAACCCTGGGGCAGATGCAGTTCATCTGAGACAGTGGGAGCGGGGAGGCATCCAAATGCTTGGCTTTTAGGCCCAGCTCTGTCGGTCACGGTGAAACCTTGGGCAAGCCACTTCCGAACCTCAGTTTCCTCATCTGTAAAATGGAAACACTGTTGGTGAAGACCAAAAGAGGGGAAAGGTGAAAATGCGTCCTACATTGCAAAATGTTATACAAGTATTAATTACTTATTAGTTGTCTTAAGCCAGACCCTTAACTTCCTTTTTTATTTATTTATTTATTGATTTTTCGAGACAGGGTCTTGCTCTGTTGACCTGGCTGGAGTGCAGTGGTGCAATCTCGGCTCACTGCAACCTCTGCCTCCCAAGCTCAAACGATTCTCCTGCCTCAGCCTCCCAAGTAGCTGGAATTATAGCCAGATGCCACCACACCCGGCTAATTTTTATATTTTAGTAGATACAGGATTTCACCATGTTGATCAGGTTGGTCTCAAACTCTTGACCTTAAGGGATCCGCCCACCTTGACCTCCCTAAGTGCTGGGATTAGAGGGTGAGCCACTGCGCCTGGCCAACCCTTAACTTCCCTAGGCTTCAATCAATAGCGAAGAATTATGTTAAGCTCATCCTTGCCACTCATAGCTGTGGTAACAGTAATGGAGGGGATGGTGGCTGTGTTATTGGGGGCCATTATGACAGCCCTCTCTTCACCACACCAGCATATTTTTCCCAAGGAGGGGGCTCTAACTGCCAGGAGGCTCACTTTCTTATTTCAGATAAGTGAAGAAAGCCATGGAGTTAGCTCACCATAAAAAGGGATTGTTATAAGTATTTAAAAGTTTCAACCCAAGGGCCAAGATATAGCCAGGCATCAGGAGCAGGCTAGGATTAGGGACTGGAAGCCTGTAAGAAACTCAGGAAACCCTCCCTTGGAATTTCTTTTCTTTGTGAGTCTACTTCATTCTCCACATAAAACAAAATGTCAGTCATTGCCAAAAGCTTCCCAGATTTACATCCTCTGAAACAGGAATCTCTTAGACCCCATCTCAGGATCCCAGGGGAGGGAGCTCATTGGCTTAGCTTGAGTCAGGTGTTCACTGCTGAACCAATCAACCGTGAGGACACAGTGTAGACAAACATAGCTGTTCACATATTGCAATGGATGGAAGACAGTAACAGGGGAACCCAGTAAGGGTCAACCACTTCCTTTTTCTCAGGAGTCCTTGCATCCCTAATGCTTTCTTTCTGATCTCATTTAGCCGACGGGCCTGCTTCTGATGTCCTGCAGCAAGGTCTGTTGCTGGTTGTGGACTATGACACCTGCTCCAGCCCTGACTGGTGGGGCAGCACCGTGAAATGCTGCATGATCTGTGCTGGGGGTGATGGTGTGACCTCCAGCTGCTACGTGAGTACCAAAATCAGGGGCCCCGCTCAGTGACAAAATGTGGCTGGGGATAAGGCTATAGAAGTCCACCCCTCCATAGGTACATCCTCCCTCCTCCTGGCAGAAGTACTCTCTAGAAATATGTTCCAGATATATCAGAACACAATCTTTGGCCAGGCAATGTGGCTCTTGCCTATACCCTATCACTTTGGGAGGCCAAGGCGGCCAGAACACTTGAGGTCAGCAGTTGGAGACCAGCCTGGCCAACATGGTGAAACCTTGTCTCTACTAAAAATACAAAAATTAGCCAGGCGTGGTGGCGGGCACCTGTAGTCACAGTTATTCAAGAGGCTGAGGCAGGAGAATCACTTGAACCCATGAGGCAGAGGTTGCAGTGAACTGAGGTCACACCACTGCAATCCAGTCTGGGTGACAGAGTGAAAAAAAGAAACAAAAACTTGATCTTGGTTCTTGTTTGTTCTTGTTTTGAGATTCTCCTTGTCGTGTGACCCCCTCTCACTGCTAGGAAGTCCTTCCCTGGGTCTCATCAAGGTCTCTCGTGATTGTCATTCCATATCCTTTCCTCTATGCTGGAAGGGAACCAAAGGAAGGTATTCCCTGGATTAGGGCCTTTCTAGGATGACTTCTGGGTTTTCTGTTGAATTACTCTCATCAACGGCCCAGCGTGACCCCTCCAGGTAGCTGCCACGGAAGCCTTCCCGGAGACAGTGTCTTAACCACCAGGAATTGCTCTGTGTTGGACTTAGCAGTGAAGTGGGGATGGAATAGGAAGGAGATCCACACGCCCTTCAGATCACACCATGCCCTACACACTCTGCCCACACAGACCACCCCACCCGTGGGAAGACACAGCCAGTGGGGAAGAGCCTGAACTCTGGGATGTGGCCTCAGCTCCTTTACAAACTGCCTGTGCAACCTTGGGCAAGTCCCAACCTCTCAACACTCCAGTTTTTCCTCTCCAGTGGCCTGGGGAGACTATGAATATTTACCTCGTAGGATTTGTGGGGATTAATGAGATAAGGTATAGAACATGCTTAGCTCAGCTCTGGCCACACAGCAAGAATAGGTGTTGGCTCTTGTTGGAATTATGGTACCATCTTGGGCTATGACCACAAGGGCCGGCTTCAGAGGACAGTGACCGACAGCAGAACAATAGAAATGCTTTGAAAACAATGGTTCCAATGGGCAGCCCCTTCCTCACCCTTTACCCTTCTGTAACTCTGGCCTTCCTCAGGGAGACTCCGGCGGGCCGCTGAACTGTCAGGCAGCTGACGGCCGGTGGGAGGTGCATGGCATCGTCAGCTTTGGGTCTAGCTTCGGCTGCAACTACTACCAAAAGCCCTCCGTCTTCACACGGGTCTCCAAATACATCAACTGGATCAATTCGGTAAGAACCGAACCAGCCCAAAGCCCCAGGGCACTTACCTGCCCACCTGGCCTCGGGAGTGCCGTGCCCACCTGGTTACTGAGAGCCTCTCCTTCCTCTTGAGAGCTAGATGGGAACCCCTTGGAGGAGGCTGCAGACCTTGGCAACTGCTGGGCCCCCCATGGGTCCCCAAAATTTCTGTGTGGGTGAAGCTGGTGAAAAGGAACATAGAGGGTGGCCTTGTCCAAGAGGTTGGACACTCATCATACATATTAAGATTGAGTTCCGCCTGATGCAGTGGCTCATGCCTGTAATCCCAGCATTTTGGGAAGCTAGGCGGCAGATTGCGAAGTCAAGTTCAAGTTCAACCTGACCAACCACGGCAAAACCCCATCTCTACTAAAAAAAAATACAAAAAAGTTAGCCAGGCCTGGTAGCGCACTCCTGTAAACCTACCTACTCAGGAGGCTGAGGCAGGAGACTCCTTGAACACAGGAGATGGAGGTTGCAGTGAGCCGGGAATTGCACATTGCACTCCAACCTGGACAAGTGAAAAAAAAAAAAGTGAGTTCCATAGAAATGGTGATTTTATTTTTGTGTATCTGTGTGTGGCCCAGACTCCACCATCCAGTGCTGTAAATGGGTATATTTATCTGCAAAGCCCAAACCTGATCTGCCTTGAGACCCCCATAGCATTAATTGTGGAAATTTGTCCCCTCATGGGTCTTCCAGCTATTCTGTGGGGTGACCAGCCATCGGTTTGTGCAGGACTGAGGTTTTCCAGAGGATGCAGGACTTCCTGTTTCACTCTGGGACCATCCCAGGCAAATCTTCCAGCTATTCTGTAGGGTGACCAACCATCCCGGTTTGTGCAGGACTGAGAGGTTTTCCAGGATGCATGACTTCCTGTTTTACTCTGGGACCATCCCAGGCAAATAAAGCCCAGTTGGTCCTCAGAGCTGTCTCCTTTCAGCTTCCACAATAACTGAATTTGTTTTTAACAATGAACACACATTTGTTTATAACAGTAAGCACTAACATTATGTATTAAAAATAATAGGCCAGGTGCCATGGCTCATGCCTATAATCGCAGCACTTTGGGAGGCCAAGGAGGGAGGATTGCTTGAGCCCAGGAGTTCAAGACCAGCCTGGGAAACATAGCGAGACTCTGTCTTTACAAAAAAAATTTATTTAATTACTCAGGCATGGTGGTGCGTGCCTGTAGTCTCAGCTACTTGGGAGGCTTGGGTGAAAGGATCACTTAGGCCTGCGAGGCCAATGCTACACTGAGCCAAGGTCACACCAATGCACTTAAGCCTGGGTGACATAGCAAGACCCTGTCTCCGAAAATAAGGATAATAATAACCGGTATCAATATTAAGGAGCAGCCATGGATACACGCAGCAGTAGGTGAAAGCAGCCAGAACAGGAAACCCCGTCACAAGAAAGGGGTGCCTGGTGGCTCACGCCTGTAATCCTAGCACTTTGGGAGGCCAAGATGGGCAGATCACCAGAGGTCAGGAGTTCGAGACCAGCCTGGCCAACATGGGGAAACCCTATCTCTACTAAAAATGTAAAACTAAGCTGGGTGTGGAGATACATGCTTGTAATCCCAGTTACTCAGGAGGCTGAGGCAGTGTAATCACTTGAACCTGGGAGATGGAGGTTGCAGTAACCCAAGTTCACACCACTGCACTCCAGCCTGGGCAACAGAGCGAGACTCCATTTCAAAAAAAGAAAACTAACAAAAAAAAGAAACGAGTGCCCAGGAGAGGGCAGAGGAGCCACCATGCCTGGTACTGGAAGCTGGGAGGGAAGAGTCGGGCACTCTGTGCCGATGAAGGACCACCTCAGTTTGGTCTTCTATACAATGAGACGTGAACTAGACAAGGACTCCTCCACTATTTATGCGCTACAGCAAATGGGGGTTATGGTATTTGTGGCAGAGCACCTGGTCCTGGCAGCACCTTGGGAACCTGAAGCAGGGGCAGGGGCAATTGTCCCAATATTTTTGTCCCAGCGTCAGCTGTTCTCAGCCACAGACACAAGCACAACAGAGCAGACCAGATCCCGAAGCATGGTCAGACGGCAGCAGGGATCCACAGGGCACCACACCCCACAAGGCAGCTGGGCAGAGGCCTTGTGTTCATGGGAGAGCAGTCGGGGCAGGCACAGATGCCCGGTAACG